ATGAATCCATTGTGTCTTTCCAGGGTTATGTGTTGAATAGCAGAAGAGACTGGGTCCTATAGAACTGGTGGAAAAGCAGTCGACCGCAGAAAGAAACAATTTCCTTACTTACTGAAATCCATCGATATATTTACATACTCATAAAAACATGAGCTTGTCAGTGCAGGACAGACAGAAAAAGAAACGTCATTTTTTTCTATATTCTGCCACATTCTGGGAACAGTATAGATGTGGAATGATACCAAGCGGACCTAAATATCTATACACTGAATCCACTATTAAAAATGGTCATTACGAAGATATTGACTATATATATATATATATATATATATATATATATATATATATATATATATATTATAAAACCCCATTGATTTAAAAATTTTTTTTTCGCTTTACAGTTCTAACCATGTTTCAAAAATGGAAGCTGAAAATGCGAGTTTAATTTTGTAATTAAATTAAAGACATTAGTTCTATTTCATCATCAAGCGAATTTTGGAGTAACTTTTAAAATTACTGGATTTTAAAGACACAGCTAAAATCATAATTCACGTTTCCAAGGATACAGAGAAATCCATTCATCCAGACAAAAAAATTCGTTGGCGTGTTCATTATCGCTGTATTTTGTCGTATCAGTTATTAGTTACGTTTTGGTAGGGATAGGGATGTATTTTTCAATGAAATCTGACATCCATTAAATGCATGTCGTCTGGATTTTTTAAAATTATATTGTTAACTGCAAATATATATATATATATATATATATATATATATATATATATATTATGAAATGGACAAAAATCCAACAATTATTTTAAGACATTCTTATGTTGATGAATTCTTTTTATAGATAACATATTTAAGTAAATGCTCTGTTTTATAATAAACAGTATTAATAACATTTACCGGCCTGAATGGCCGAGAAATTTTCATAGAAAATATTCGTCCTCCGAAAGGAATCGAACCTGTATCCTATACGGAACCGTCATTTAACCTAACGTATCTTAACCGATCGAGTTACGGAGAATCGTTCGATTAGCGAGGTCGATTTTACTGCTTTTAAACTTCAATGTTCCATGAATATCTAACGTACATTCATATCTGCTCAACGCGTACGCAAATGTAAACAAATGACGTCACACATTATGAAATAGACAAAGTCCGACATTTATTTTAAGACATTTTTATGTTCATACATATTTTTATAGATACAAATATTTAACTAAATGCTCTGTTTTATAATAAAGATTATTAAACAACATTTACCGGCCTAATTCAATCAGTGGGCAGAAAAGTCTATTTGCAGATATACGCGTGGCTGAGTATTTAGACATTTCGCTTTCCGGCCATGAGACCCAGGTTCCAACATCATGGTGGTCGATTTATCATGAAGGTAACTTCTTGATATTATCGGCCTGTGAAGGCGATCACAGCGTACGGCAGCTGGAAATTGCCTCAAAACCCTACCACTGGTTTGACTGAAGCCTTGTGGGTGAAAGACATCGACATTGCCCTAATTCGCAACGCAATGACCGATGGTTCGATCTTTGTTCAGTCTATTGATCAACACGAGATAATACGCTCTTTCCCAGAAACTAACAGTCCATTCAGGTATATTTGCAATATAATCCAGAGATGGTCTCTCTTTGTGTTGAGCAAACACAAATGCGATGTGATTGATCAGCCATTTTTAACAGAGATTGGCTCGTCCTCCTAGTAGACAAGCGAACACACATACGAGCGGCAAACGTCACTATAGACACGATTTTTAAAACCTTACTCTCTTTAAAACACAATTGCTCATGTTATCACCGCCACTCTATAGTCAAGAGTTAAATCAAAGTTCCAGTGACTTTGCCTTCGATTTATAGTTAAGTTTATACACTACAAATAGATTAATCTTACCCTCACGAGTATATATATATATATATATATATATATATATATATATATATATATTATAATTAATTCATCGCGTCTAGAAGAAACCTCAACAGAATGCAGAAAGCACTGGACGGCCGTTTCGTCCTATATTTGAAACTCAACAGCAATTGAAACCAGGCCAGTTACATTTGTTTTTTACAAACGTCATAGTGACTGTACAAACGGACCTCAAACGACGAAAAAAATGAATTAGACTGGATATAGTGGTGTAACTCATCCTAGTTTCTCCTTTCCCATAGGACTGTGCCGCCACGACTGATATCACCAAGCCGCTCCAACCAGAGCATTTAAAGCCGGTTCAAGCAAGGATATACAAGTGGTACAATCACTATCACTTGTATATCCTTGCTTGAATTGATAATGTAACTGATGATGTAACTGTTCCGGTTTCAATTCTCGGTAATGGATGCGTATTGCAGATGAGTCCAAAATATGTGACGAAATGGCCGTCCAGTGAATGTTTGCATTCTGTCGCGGTGTCTTCTAGCCTCGATGAATTTCTTAATTATAATATTCTCAAATACTCCAAATAAGTTCTGTCATGTATATATATATA